ACATGATCGTCAATGTCATTTTATTAAGTAAAGATTTGTTAATTTAAGTACCAACCAACCAACCAACCGTACACTTCAATCACAACGCTAAAATTTCAAATCAACATCATCATCGTCTTGGCTTTTTAATTTGTTACAATCAAAGTTACAACTTTTTAAAAGTCCCTTCAAAGTTACTCAAATTTGTCAAAGTTACAACAGGACAGTTAACTCAAAAACTTCAGATTGGATAATCCGTTTTACTTTTTGATATGCAGGCAAAGAACTCTTCTTTAAGTTATTTGTTATCAAAACATCTTAAATAATGCAACCCAAGCTGATCTTAACCAAGTAAACAAATCAGAACACTAAAGTGATTGAATTTATAAAGGAAGAATCACGTACAGTTGCACGCACACTTAACCACATGCAATGGACAATCACCAACACAAGAGCACGTTGGCATAAAAGTATATCTCCCAAGCATGAATATGAACAACTGAGATAAAGCAGCAGTGTGGAGGAGAAATCAAAGTTGATAGATAAGAACAAGTGAAACAAGAAAATCTAGCGGTGAGTTATGAGATTGTTCCTCCAAAGTACAACACTACTCAGAACTACTACACTACCCAGAACAACTACACTACTGCAAACAACTACTCTACACAGAGTAATGAGTGAAAGAGTGAAAAGATTAAATAACGATGTGATGAAGCAGAACTTGTTAAAATTTTGCCCTGATTTATTCAAAATGACGGTGAGGAAGAAAATGATGATGACTGCTGAGATGAATATTACAATGATGTTGATTGTGATGATGATGACGATGAAGAAGATGATGGGAATGAGATGATCGTGATGTTTGCGAATATATAGCAATAATGATGAAAGTGATGATAATGATGACGATTACGAGAATAGTAACTAGAGCGTTGATAAAAAATAATTACGATAACGAAGATGATGACGACGATGATGAAGAAGATGAAGATAATGACAACGAAGCAAAAAAAACTGTAAAGATAAAAATAAAAATAATGAACTGGATCATGCAATGTGTATAAGACGACTTGTGACGATTTTGGGTGTAAGCCAACATATTTTTCTTTTCAACTCCAACACTCATTTGAAATAAAATAAGTTTCTTCAAGTAAGTAACTAATAAATTAATGAAATGATCGTGACAGAATGGATAAAATTGTTGAACATTCGCAATATGATGCAGTANATTTATTTACTCTATGCCTCGTCCATCTCAGTAA